ATTATTTATAAGGGTTGTCTTTATCCTTCTTTTTGAACCATTGCAATTTCTCACAGTAAAAATTATAGGTGTTACAGCTTGCTTATTTTTCAAAATTTATTTACCAGAGTTTGATAATATTCTTTGGAGAAGACGGGGATAAAGTATCTGTAGTCATATTTTTTGCAAGGGTGTACTTTACCTTTGTTTTTGAACCTAAAACTTTGCATTTTCTAAAACAAAATAGATATAACTTGCATACTATTCAAAATTCGTTTGCCAGATTTTGAAATTTCTTTTGTAGAAGACGGGTTAAAATGTGTAGTCAAATTTTCTGTAAGGATGTTGCTTACTCTCCTTTTTGAACTTAAAACAGATAGTGAAAATTAGATGATTTAGAGACAAGAAATATCCATTAGATGGCGACACAAGGCTACTTTTGTACATTACAGGTGTTACAACTTGTAAATTTTTCAAAATTAATTTTTCAGATCTTGATAATTTTGTTTAAAGAGGACGGTGACAAAATGTGTGAAGTCAGATTATTTGTTAGGGTATACTCTACCTTTCATTTTGAACGTAAAACTTTACAAATTGTGATAGTCAAAATTACGTGTTATAACTTGCATATTTTTCAAAATTTATTTGTTAGAGTATGATAATTTTATTTGAAAAAGACTGAAAGAAAATGTGTTAAATTAATTCTTTTGTAAGGATTCTCTTTACCTCTCCTTTTGAACCAAAAACATTGCAATTTCTCGTACTTGTAATAGTTACAATGCTTCTAAATTACTGTTATAATACACCTTTTTTATCACTAAATTGGCATGACTGGGTAAAGACAGATTCAAAGAAGTTCTGTATGGGGAATCCCAAAACATAATTTTTTAATGCATTCTTTTTTTATAAAATTAAAATTCTTCAATTTTGAGTTAAAAGTTTATTGATTTATTAATATATCTCGAAATTCAATTTTCATTTCAGGCGTATGTACGAACTCTACAACACCTCGTAAGAATTATAATTTCTGTTTTGTTTTTTTAATTAATGTTTTTACGTGTACGTACAAAGACTAGTAATTATCTCAATAAAAATTATTCAAACATTTTTCATTTTTTGTACGTTTACTCAATAATATTTAAAAACAACTATCGCAATAATTGTAACACACATAATTTAATGAGAAGTATTTTTTACTAGTACCCATCTATTTAAATTTAAATTATTTTCACTCATGCGCTTAACAGCGCGTCTTAGCGCGTGCGGACTTTATTGTTTTAATTAATTACATCTGAGCACATTTAATCTTCAGTAAACTTAACGTTAAATATTTCCTAAAATGGGTAGTATAATTGTTTTACTTTCTGGTAAGTGACTTCTTAAAAGTTTTAACTAAAATAAATGCTTTGTTTGTTGCAAAAAAAAAAATTCAATTAACTAAATAAATTTATTTGCGAAGAGAAAATATTAATGTACCTGTCTAATAAAACAATTAATAGCAAAAGCATTTTTTCAGTGAAACATTTAAAAAATTGGTTTCCAATTTTTAAACTAGCATGTTTATGTAAAAATTTAAGATTATTTAAATATGTTTATGTTGTACTATAGTTGCTCTTTAAAAATTAAGAATTAAAAATTAATTTCCTATATAAACTTTTCCTATAGTTTATAATTTTATAATATAGAAAATTGTGTTTTTAAAACTGTAACCATTATTCACTGGACTTGTTCGATGCTATTTTTGTTTAATTGAAGATAGCAGGAGCGTTTGATGTGCAGTAAAGTGAAAAGTGTTGAAATACTTCATTAAGCATTGACCTAAATATGGGGAGTAAATTATAGTTACCCATAGTAACAAGTAGAGGTACAAAAGGGGTAAACTTCATGAGCAAAAGAGACTCTGAAAATCGTCTAATTATTTCACAAAGTGCACATGAATTTTTAAATAAGAAAAATTATTATTGGGATTGCTACTGGGACGGGTGGGAGGAAGGAGAGGGAGGAATGTTAGGAAAAGCTTTCTTTCGAAATAATAAGAAATCAATTCTAAATATTATTCCATACAATTTCGTTGTTTTTAATACATGATATGTATCATATGGAGAGTAGAAAGGGGTAAGAAAAGTCCCCTTTTCTCATTTTTCAGCTTGTTTTAAATAGATAAAATACGAAAATAAAAATAAAATAAAACGAAAATGTTGGTATGTATAAGGGAAGGAAAAGTAGGGAAAGAGTGAATATAATGATATGAGACGAAAAATTAGAAGAAGTGACTGATTTTCGGTATCTAGGAGGTCAGATAATTCAGTATGGAAGGAGCAGTAGAGATATAAAACAAAAGATAGCACAGCGAAATCTTAGAAATGTGATGTTAAAGGCGAATTATGAGGGTACCGTGGGTAGAGAAGTCTAGAAATGGGGAGGTATTAGGAGGAGTAAGGAAACAGAGGGTGCTATGGCAGTTAACATGAAATAAGTGAGATAGGTTGGTAGGACTCCTTCTCAGGCATGAAGGTCTAGTCGGAGACATATTAGAAGCAGAAACAGGAGTTAAGAGGAGTAGAGGTAGATCTAGATTAGATCACTGTTCACAAATATTTAAGGATGTGGAATGTTCTAGTTTAGGGAAACGAGAATGTGGAGGTGCGTATTCAACCAGTCTTAAGACTGACGACCCTATGATGATGATAAAACGAAGCAATCAAAGAATGTACACGTTTTTTTCTTATCTTCACCCTGTACTCCCCTTTCATATCCAACGTCTCTCCACAGGGAATTTAGTATTGAAAACTATAAAAGTTAATGAAATAATCTTAAGATTTTTTAAATTTTATCCTTCGTGAGAGGAAGCTCTTTCTGCCTCCTTCTCCCTGTCCTTTCTCGTACCTGCGAACATTGTTCAGGATACCAAAACAACCCTTATTATTTTATTCAAAGTAAATTCTTTTTAAAGAAATATTTAAATATTAATAACAATAAGTCTTAATAACAATAAATGTGTTTTTTTTTAGGATTCATAATCGTCAATTCAGTTCAAATCAATTACATTCTAGTTCCTCAAGCAGTTCAGAACAACAGTCATCAACCAATAATTATTGATTGTAATTATTCATTGAGACCAGATGGTACAGATTTGGTGTTGCAATGGTATCTAAATGAACAGAAAATTTACCATTGGGTCCCACCGAACAAACCTCAAGCTTTGGGACTGTTGAAAGATAGGCTGGATTTAAATTTTGAAGCAAGTGTTGATGTATTATCCCGATACAGAGCATTAAAAATTGAAAATCCAACGGTAGATTTGGCTGGCGAATATAAATGTTATGTTTCAACATCTATAGATGAAGATTTTGCCACAAGAAAATTAATTGTTTTTGGTATGTAGGTACTTGTGGGAGTTTTATTATTATTATAACAGAACCAAAAACTTTAGTTCCTTCTTACTATTGAATTTCGCTGTTAGTTTAAATTTAATTTAGGCGTGTGTATTTTGAACGGGACGAACTAGTTTATTAAATAGGTAGGTAATACATACAATGAGCGGCGAAAATATAGAATAAATTTAAAAAATCTCTAAAGGTAAAAGTAATTTATTGAATGAAGTGAAGTTTTTCTATAAAAAAATTTGGTTTATTCTAAAAATTTTTTGATAACATCATCAGTATACTTGTAAAGCATTTGAGAGAATGTATTTAAATTACTGTACTCAAATATTATTAGAGTATTTGTAATTGCATTTAAAATACTATTCAACGAAATTTATTTGTATTGAAATACGAATTTTTAATTATTTCATTTGATTTTGCAAATACTTTTTCAAATACTCATGATAATTTTTTAATTCTGTTAACGATTTATAAACAGTTTAACTCAGATTATGTATAAATTGTTAAGAAAGTTGGCATAATAATTATAATAATGCTAGTATATTTTCTGATAGAAAATATCACAAAGTAAGTATTTTCTGTTTGAATTTTGCTTTTAAGCAAGTATTTTTTGCAAGTATACGCCTGATTTAGGATACTTATTTTTTAAAATTATTCAATTAATAAATTATTCTTTACAAAAATATATTTTTTTTGAATGTGTAATTTATTTTATAGAGGGATTTTTTTACAAGTCTGACCATCAGCCAATACATAAATACTATAATTTATAATTATAGTTGCATAGTTCTTTTAAGGAGACTTTTTAGAATTTTTAATAACTTTATTCCATGTTTTTGCTGTTAACTGTGTACTTGAACTTGTTTTCGTTGTTTCTCTACGGAAAGAATGTATTAAGAGCGGGGGAAACATATGTTTGTCGTTTTTTTTTGCGATTATAGGACGAAAAGGACGAGTTGCGATAAGAAATACTTTCAGATGTTTACAGTTTTTATTCGACAACGTTCGTGTTATTGTAAAAATCTGTCAGTTGTTTGTTTCATCGCTGCGAAATATTTTGTATTTATGGGTACCTAATTGATGGAATTAAACTAAAAATTATTCCGGATTCGGGAGTTTAATTAGATTGTGATTATGTGCTTGTCTTGTTTTATAGAAATGTTTAATAAGTAATAACGTTCGCTTGCAAAATGAATATTTCTTCATTCCAAGTGCTCACAGCAATGGTGAGTAATTGAAACATATTATTAGGTACTAGCTACACATTTTAAATTAACAATACAAAATTAAAATACGTATGTGGTAGGTGCCTTCTTAGTTGTTATCAATGAAAGCACAGGTATTTCGTTAGTTAGATTTTACATATCCATTGGGTGCTTTTTTATGAACATTCCTACAGGTAAATAATTTTCAACTATTATATTACCAAATCTCCAGAATTTTAGTGAATTAAGTAGGTATGGTATAATTGGATTGATCTCCCAAAGTAATTTAAATTTGTGTAAAAAATTATTCNCTTTATAACGCCGAAAAATGTCCAGTCCCTTAAGTGTCGTTATATAGAGTTTACACTGTAATCATATCGATTATAAGTTTTCTATTAAGTATGATATCACCATATTTCTGACCACGATTTTGTTGTTACTTTACATTAAATTGTGGCCAATTTTGCAATTAAATAATTATCATCTTCTTAACCGAAAATAAGATATGTATGTTTATGGCTATATGCAGCCATAATTATGCAGATAACTAATATGAACATGTTGGTAAATACAATATTATTATAATTTTTAGAACCAGAAAAATTATTTTTCTTAAATCATAGTTACGAAGATGCAAAAACAGTAAATTTTACTTGTGTTGTCGCTGACATTTACCCTGAACCATCAATGATAATATACACTAACAAAAAGGAGAAAAGACTGGATAGGTAACACATACAATTTTGCAATATAAATGTATTGCTACTACTATCCTTATTAATTTTAAGTTCCTAGTAGCGATTTTTTTTAGGATGAAACCCCAAAAAGTTATTCATTTATAAACATATGCACTTATCTTTGATTTGTTTAGATCATATTTTCACCTTAAATCCAATATTGTTCTATTTTCGTTTATAAAGGTCTTTGGCTTTTAATTTTCGTTTAAATAATGACTTAAAACGATACCCTCTCTTCCTAATTTAGTTCTTGCACTTATGCTTCGTTTTTGTAAGTATATATCTACCTATACTTACCATCTACCATCTTTTCGTATATTACTTGAATAATATCCCAACGAATTAAAAGTGGTACCAAAGCATGATGTTCCATGAAGTATTTTTCATTTTTTTGACAAAACCCTAATTCATTATAGTGGAGTTCTCCTTGTACGATGTTTTTTTACTTGTTATTCGTTATATTCCGTTAATTATTTAATAGTCTTCGAATGTATAACGACAATAAGACATTTTAGAATCCTTCAACCTATTCAGTGGGGTACTTCTAAAGAGCAAAACGGACGCTATACAATGACATTAACTGCATCTACATTTATAGAAACATTGGATGCTGGGTCAGTTATTAGTTGTGAATTAAGAATCCCTGGTACCAGTTACTCAAAAAGAAAAACACTTTTGTACTATCCTCTAGGTAATTCCACTAAATATTTCGATTTACGTGTTAAAATTTATATACCTAAAGCAAGTTTTTTTGTAGAAATGAGAAGTTGGAACAGTAAGTAAAATATATTAAAGTTTTAATAGTAAAAACTTTTAAAACTGTTGATAGTAGCCTATAATTTGATGAAAAAAGTATACCTACCTACATGAAATTTGAAATAATTTGTTTATTGTAATTCACAACAATATTGTTTCACTTTAAAGTCCAATCTAAACAGTGGAGAAAGAATTTTGGAAATTACCTCCCTCGTACATCTAAACTTACAAACTGCATTTTTTTTAAACTACAGTTAAAATTATTTTTGTTATTAATTTAGTGTTCTGTTAGTAAAAATTTATGATGTTTATTAATGCGAGTTTGAAAAGCTCCACTAGAGTGGCCTATATACTTACGTAACAATGTATATTGTTGTGAATTATAATATAAAAGTCTTCGAAACTTCGTCTTCGTGTTTTTTTGCCACCAAGTTAGAATATAATTGATTAATACTTTTATAACATTTTAAGAAGTTTATTTATTTTTAACCAAATTTCAGGGGGCCCAATTGTTGGAGGTTCATACCTTCATGTGTCCATTCTCCTTATTTGTCAAGGATCTATAATTTTCCTCTAAATATATATATGAACATATGAATATTTACATTTAATTGATTTGAATATTTCATTCTGTTTTTAAAGATAATAAAAAATAAAGTAAAAAGGTTGTAATTCTTTTTTATTTCACTCAACTTTACTACATTTCGGGTGGATTGATTAATACTGTCTACAAAAACGTATGTGAATGGTAGTTGTAAAAAATGATCATTTGTTATAAAAATGTGCACATACGTATGTACATACATACATATTTTGAATGGAAATGTGTGCATTATTCGTACTATTAAAATATTTATTTTATATGTACACATTAAACTTATATTATGTAGTTTTTTCCAGGGTGGCGGTCAAATAATTACATAACTATATGTTTTGCGTAACGTTTCGGATTATTCAACCATCTTCAGACTTTTAAAGTGTTACTGCATATACACAGATATTAACTTATTTTTAACATTCTTTCATGTTGAACTAAGTTAATATCTGTGTACAAGCAGTAACACTTCAGAAGTCTGAAGATGGTTGAATAAACCGAAACGTTACGAAAAACATATAGTTGTGTAATTATTTGACGGCCATCCTGGAAAAAAACTACATAATTTAATAGTAACGGTCAGGAATCTAACATAAATTAAACTTATATATATTTTTCCTAGTTTGCTGGTTTCTGGTTTCTTAAATTAAATTTTACCACCGTAAAATTATTGAGATTGCGTTTACGCCATCGGCGTAGTTTGTAGAAACAAATTCAAACAGCAAGCTAGACCAAAAATATTATAAAGATAGAGGTAGCTTGAACGAAAGAATACGTGCAGTATGTCGTTGAGTAAATGGTGTACACACAATTTCTCAATAATGTTACTATAGATTTTTAAATCAGCCGTTTTCCATACAATTTGATAAATATAAACTAATCTATATTTACGTTACGATTTTTTTGAAGTGAAACTTCTTTACGCACGGTAGGGTAAATTCGTTTCATGCGAATGTAACGAAATCATGCAACGGATGTCCACCCTTTACTCGACCACGTAGTCGAGTTCGTAGTGGGGATCGCTCCGGCATGTATAGTGTAAAATTTAAATTCATAGTGTACAAATAATACCATTAAACCAATGCCTTAACCCCTATCCCGGTATGCTTGTGTATTTGAAGAAGTTTCACTTCAGTAGCGTGTTGTATAATTACACGTTGTATTTTTTTTTTATTAACAACTTCTTTTAATTAATATCTAAAAAGGTACACAATCGGATACTCTTTTTAACTTTTTGAAAATTTATAAATACAATACAATAATATATATAACATTTCCCAAACATCTTGTATGTAATTATTTACTTAATCACAAATAATAATTAATTGGGATCGTTTTAGAGAATCAATTAAATTGCTAAAAGTCTAACAGAACTAAAATATTTACTAACTACAAATAAATAGTAAATGCAAAGTTGTGGGCAATATTTAGGAATATTCAAATGGAGAAAATTCTATGTAGTACTTTTTCCACTTATCACAATATCAAAAAAATTGGATAGAAAGTAGCAATAGGAAACAACTTTCTCCAGAATTTTCATAGTCTAAAAGTCTAGAAAATCCTGACAATTTTTGCAAACTGATAATTAGTTTTTCGTATTTACTTACATAAAATTTTTAGAAATAATGAAGACAAAAAACGTCAATAAATTTTTATTCAATTTCCCTAGTGTAGTTTTGTTCTTTCTACGGAACTGTAATGCCCTTGTTAAGATAGAAAATGCTTCATGAATAGTAAATACAAAGTGAATAGCGGTACAGTGGTTGCTTAGGTACGCAAAAGGGTCGGTTTCATAACTGCCTGGTTAGAATTATAACAATAAGTGTCTTTGCTCTCCTAAATTTCTGAGTGTTGAATTTTCTTTAAAGTCCGATGCTGACAACATGCTCAAATTCTGCTTGTCTTCATCTCTTTCTGTTACACATTAATTGGTGTAATGTTATTCCTTTTTCTTTATTAGTGTCCGCTGCAATTCCTACCTGACATCTCTTTTTTATGTTTACGATATACCCTACAATGTGAATAAACGTAGACGGTCTATCAGCAACCGCTCTAGTCTAATTAGTAAGTTGAATTTATGAATTTAAGTTCTATTTCTTTCTTTATCAACTGCACCTTCTCACTTATTCTTTTACGCTGTATTAACTCCCGAAACTTCTTAGCATTTTTTATGAAAACAATTTCATACATATATCATCATTATAAAAATGTTTAATATTTCAAACCTTTTGTAAAATTAATTTTTAACTACCTATTACTTCAATTAAATATTCCTTTATATGCGTGGAGCCCAATTACAAAAGAAGTAAGTAATACATCAAAAACTGTCTTCCTTCGTTTCTTGCAACAAATCTTCCCGAGAATTTTTGACAATTTGTCGCCTGATTCTCATTAATTGTTTTAAATACGCACTCGGACTGCTACTTGGCACCGGTCTCTTGACGTGCTTTTGTCTTGGTAAGCTGCCATAATCAGAAAATGTTGGGTTACTCTCTAAACTTGAATCTTCGACATTAACTTGGTTACCTCCCCCCTCCATCCCTAGTCCCCCTCTTAAATTCTTTAAGTTCCATTCTCCGGGATAGCAAGTGAAGGGTTGCGGAAACCTGTGAAGAAATTCTTCTCTCTCAATCGACGTTGTTCTACGTCCACCTGAAGACTTTTCCAAAGCAACGTTTATGCAGTGCTCCAATTTATTGCAAGATTCTTTCAAAATCGATTCGTATCGATTATGGTATTGTGCCGTATCATTCGTTGTTTGAACGCTGGTGTTTTCGGTGTTGTTTGAAGTTTGAGTTGATATGTTATTGTGACGTCTTTTGGGTCTTCTTTCGGACGATACTTTCCTTTTAATTCGCGAGGTGCTGCCGGTAGGTGTTTCGCTTGGATCGCCCACGGTCACCTGGATGTCGTAAGAATTGCTGCAGTTCGCCTCCATGGTGCTGGCCACACGGGTCAAGTTGGTCATCAATTTTGCCGCCTCTTCTAAGAATTTCGACATGGTGTCGACCATTTTCTTTTCGGTTTCTAGCGAATTACCAGAGAATCGAACTTTTTTAGACGTCCATTCCAGGGAGTCCCTTGTGTTTCCGAAACTTGATTCGACGTCCGAATCCAGAGAACCTTCTTCCTTTTGATCGTACTTCATTATCGATTTTAATATCTCCGGAGAACGTGATGTGGCGCTCAACAGATTATTTTCGACTTCTACAACGTTTGGATTGATAGGTTGAGGAATATCCCTTTTGAGAGGACTAACTCTTTCGTTACAAGCCTTTGTTATGCATATTTCTGGAGTGTATAGGGTCGTTACGTTGACCGATTGGACTTTGTCTCTTATATCTGCGGTAACAGTACAGTTTGCAACGCAAGTTTCCGTGCTTATCGCAAAATTTTCGTTCAGAAGCGACGGGAAACTCGATTGGGCTTCTTCCGATTTCTTATTGTGATTTTGTTGTTCCACAGGTTTGTTTGAGACATTTTCGCTTTTGGTAGCGGAGCTTGCATGTGCGTGCGTTTCTAGGGAATTGTGATTACTGATAAGGTCTGGCGTGGAAAAACACACCTGCAGTTGGTTCAAATCATCAAGGCTATCGTCTGACGCGCTATCCACTGATCTCTTTCCGTTCGAATCCTTCCTTGACACGTTAATGTTAAGAGACGACGTGAATGTTTTGTTACTTAAACTATTTTTACTATTAGAGTCTGCATTTTGTAAATATTTCGTGAACGAAAATGAACCTGTTGTAACTGGAGATTTACGTTCTGCCATTTCGTTATTTTGTAACTCTTGGTCTTCGACGGATTGAGTACCACACGATCTTGTTAAAATTAAAGAAGTATTTGTTCCAACTTCGTTGCTGAGTTGCTCGAAACTATCTAACAATGGACCACAGTACACCCCGACGTCTGAATATGTGACAGACTCCATTTCAGTACCCACTTCCTTTATTTCTGCTAACTTAAGCTGAAGATCATCCACGTCCGTGCACACGTCTTTTACTCGAGTAACTGTTATCAAGTCCGTTTGTATTTCGGCGTGTCTTCGTCTGTGAGCTTTCAAAGCTCTTCTAGTCAATTCTAAAAGTTTAACTTTCGCGCTAATGACTGACTCGTCTTTCGAATTTTCTTCGGGGGGCTGTGGAGGCTGTTGTGACATTGGGGAATTTGAAGTTTCTGGCACAGGTTCTTTCTTTTTGTTGCTGCTGGAGTAAAGGCGATTAGTAACTGATGCTATTATGTCTTTTCGAGGAGCTACTGATCTTTTTGCTGAATCTGATTGTTTGGTGTCATTGGGCGGGTCTACCGAACTGAGCTTTGGTATGCTTTCTTGGGATTTTCGTGATGATAATCTCGATAAAGTGCTGGTACGTTTTTGAAGTGGAGGTTTTTTGGGTTTGTCCATTTTGGAAGATAGCGATTCCTGAGAACCTAGCGATTTAGACTTCCTCTTTTCCATTTTCTTCTGATTTTCGGAAGATGCTGTTAGGCTTTTAGAAGACCTCTTCAATTCTGTTGTCGTGCTATTGACTGTGATCAGTGGTATAAGTTTTTCCTGATTGAAGCAAGTTGTAGAATTGCAGTTTAGAGTGTTTATGTCTGAATATGATACTAATGTATTGGAATGTGGCTTTCTTATACTATTGGCTAAATTGTATCTACTTAGTATTTGTAAACCTTTCGGTTCGCTTTCCTCGGTTATTTTATTTTCTAATATGAGATCAGTTTGGATAGACGAAGATTCATAATTATCTTCTGTACAAGTGTTATGATTATTGGGCGAATTTTTGACTTCAGTATATTCGTTTTCGATAGGCGAATTCTTGCATTCAACTAAAGAGGTATTCAGCTGAAATAGGAGAGAGCAAGGAATTATAAGGATAATTCAGTACATGCATACGATTTTGTATTGAAACCAAAAGTAATTCTTCATTAATGCTCGACAAGCGTGAAGATAGTGATTTTTTGAATTTTTCGTTATCGCCATAGTGAAAAGTTTTTAAGGATTTTAAAGATTGTTGTTTTTCGAATTATCCTACCTGAGAATGAGTGAGTAGTTCTTTAAGCCTGATAATTTCGGCCTTTAATTCTCTTATTGTCCTTTCTTTTGGGTCTTCATTAACGACTGGCTGGGAAACAATTTGCTTGGCTCGTTGCCCAAATCGTAAAGTGTTTACTGTCTCACTGTAACATGCACTTGAAGGTGAAACAGCTGAAACAGATCAATTCGTAATAGTATGTAAACATTACATAAATGAATGATTATTGTCTCTATGTGATTACATTCTTATTTTGGCAAAGTAGACGAACACTTACTCGCTATCATTAGCGTCCGGGAGTTCCCGCCCAGAGTATCCTTTAGGAGCCATGTCAGGATAGAGTCACGGTATGGGACAAACCGCTTTCTATGCTGTGATTTAGAATATTTTGTCGAATATTCAGCTAAGTGTAAAAAATTAAATACAAATCATAATCTTTCAATAATAAGTTAACCTAAGAAAACGATACGAAAATTTAATATACAAAAAGAGATTTTTTGCAGCAAGGAGACTACCAAGATTTCTATAAGAAGTGGTCTTTAAGTGGATAAATCCACCTTGTGGTGGATCGAACTAATTCGAGTTTAATAGGAATTAAAATAGAGTCTAAAGTTCAATGAGAACCAATATATTGACGATTTTTTTAATCGAATAAGGTGGAAAACAAGATGCATTATTATCGGACTCGTCAGTAGCATTTTGTAATTATTATTTCTGCATTTTCTCATACGAGTCGAACAATTTGGTTTGTTTTAAGTCGAAACATGACAAAATCATCTGTTCTACTCAGGAATTAATCTCATTTTTCCTTAATATTTGATTCATTACGGTTTTTTTTCGACCAAGTGAATTAAATTTCATCTGATACAATCGAATATATCATTTTAGAATTGACTATAATAAACAAATACATATACCTAGCCTAAATGGAGTAAATGGTAGCGTGCTGGACTAGCATTCTAAGGAACGCGGGTTCGAATCCTGGACCGAAAAAAATCCTTGCATGACTTTTCTCAATATCACCAATGAAGGAAGAGGTGTTTTCGATGTATAAAAATTAGGGAAAGTACAAAGACAGACTTTGAAATTAACTAATATTAGGCGTAAAACAGAAGTTTGTTAGGACGAATTCAGACTTAACTGAGAAGTAAAGTTGATGAAATTCTTTCCGTCTTTCATTCGTTTTATAATAGATAATATACAACAATAAACTTCAAAAATTCATAAAATATTTACACTTACCTAGGGTTGAAATGACGTTTCCTAAAGCCACTAAGCTCTTGTTTATGTTGGCTCCTTCTTTTAAAATTGAAGCGGTTGGGCAACGTGTTCCAGCTCGTTCGCTTCCTGCTAAGTCTACTAAATGCAATTGTATGCCCCCCAAATAAGTTAATGTAAAGACAGAATGGCTTCTACTAGAAAATGGATTTGTCAATGTGGCCGCAACTCGCCGATTACTATTTCCAACGTTCAACCATTTTAAAAGGGTTTCGGGATCACTTGCTTCATGTTGAGTCAAACCTTAATTTCCATTAAAGCAAGGGCAAATATTAAATTGTATTTAAAATAAATTAGTCTATTGTATTGCATATTAAGCTTCAGTTGGGTACAATTTGTTTATACTTACCCTGTACGTAGGGACCCCTTTTAGGATGTTCTCTGACTTTGAGTAAGCGCTTTTCGGTTTTGTTCAAATCACCCTGTGGTTCTAGTAAGTCCCTTACTTTTTCGTTGTAAATTTCCAAGTAACTAAAAATAAGGAATATGTAATTTCGGAATTAAAATAAATTGAATCGAAGAACTTTTGAATTCTTGTGACTCTATATTAATGAAACGAAAACAAATTGTAAGTATTTATGTTTTTAACACAAAATTCATGATCAATCTAAGTAACCACTTTAGGGGAAGTTTAGAAGAATGTTTCTACTTTTATTTTTATTTGAACCAATATGGGACGTGACGCAATTGATATAGTTTAAGACCGCTGGTATAGGCAGTGCGCGAACAAAAGATGTAAACTGTGATATAAATTTACAACTGATATAAGTAACAAATCGTTAAAAAAATAGGTGTAATTGTGTGTTAAATAAGTTATTTATGCAAAAGAGACCTATTTAAAACAATAATTAGTCGTTACAATAATTTTCTTTATGATTTCCATTTTATTTTCGTTTTCGTACTAAAATAGGTGGGTAGTTTTCTTAAAAAATATAAGTAACTTTCAGAACAAAAATTCTTACCGAAATATTTTTTTAAAATAATTTTATTTTACGTCGATGGCTTTACTTTTCTAATACGTAGAACTGTTTGCTTACATTTAAATAGGTTTATGAACCTGTTGTTTGTATTCAACCTGCGCCAATTTTCCCAGTTTGCTTTCACAAAAGATAACAAAAAAAGAAGAACACGGTAAACACGTGAACGTTTGGTATTTTGGCACAAATCCTGTATGTACCTACGCAGATTCACACTCGACTTCGTTAGATGGCTTCGAGTTTTGAGGAAAACGCGAAAATTAAAACGTTTCGCGTGACAACCGTCGAACGAAAGCGTCCCTTTGACACGAATGTCGACAAAATAGCGATTTCTACGACTTCAACTTCAAAACTCGTTTCCGAAGTTTTTAAGTGTTTTTAGCGGGTAGGACGTGTGCTGTACTTGTTCGCAAAACACGAAAGCTTTAGCCAAGGGCTGGCATAGTTTATGATATGCGCAGAAAGTAGCAATTAAAATTAGCCCTTATCATTATATTGTCGCTTCCGCGTTAATAACTACGCTATAATAAGTTTCTACTACTTGACGCTTTCTAACTACAATACTGTGTATAATTTATGCAAATAACCGTTTGCATTTTATCTATTGCATACTACTGCAATTCTTGAGGTATACGGTGTGCTCAAGGAAATGAGGATTGTTAGGAGAAAGGCTATTCAACACGTTAATGTTAAGTCCGGCCGAAATTATTTTAATAAATTTTATGCTAATCAATAGTTATAATCTTTGCATTGACAACAGTAAAAAACGGATTCTAACGGAGTTAAAATTATAGATTTAGAGTTAGTACTTGGCGGATTCGGCACTGTTTTTAGGATTTGACCGAAAAACATCGGGTAAAGTAGTAAAGTAGAACGGTAGTTAAGAGGAGTTGAGGTAGACCTAGATTAGATTATTGTTCGTAATGTAATAGTTAAGAATGTGGATTGTTCTAGTTTTAGGGAAATGCGAAGATTTTAGTTCAGGATAGGAAAGAGTGGAGGTATGTGTCCAACCACTCTTCGGATTGACGACCTTATGATGAGAACTTAGGGTTTTCCATTTACTTGTGCTATAAGAAATTGTTTTGTGTCAAATTTCATGATTTAGGCTTAGGATATAAACGGCCGTATCTTTTTTTCTTTGAGCTGCCTCAGAAGTCTGATTCTTTACAATTCCAATTGATTGCAGACCTGAGTATTTGATATTAATTTCAATATGATATCTCCACGCGTTCCTGAGAAAAAGGGTCTTGGAAAATATACAGACAAGCAATCAAGCGATCCTATAAGAGTGTCTTTTTCCTTTTGAGGTACGGAATTTAAAGATGTAATTAGTCCAATGTCACAATTAATAGTTAATTTACATGCATGGTTTCCAAAAGTTGTAATATTCTATTAATAACAAAATTCTAAATTAGTAGTCTTTGGGGATTCAAGTACCTAAAGCTGTTAGTTTTATTGACTTTTTATCTTTCCTTTTTGGTTGACATATGCCAGTTCTAAGATTGGTTGGACACGCGCTTCCACTATTTCCTTTCCTAAGTTAATCTTCACATCTCCCTAAAACTAGAACATCTCACATCCTATTTGTGAACAATAATATAATCTAGGTCTACCTCCACTTTTCCTAACTCCTGTTTCTGACTCTAATACGTCTTTGAGTAGACCTTCATGCCTGAGAAGGTGTCCTACCAACCTATCTTGCCTATTTTTTATTGTCTTCCATAGAGTCCTCTGTTCTCCTATTCTTTCTAATACCTCTTCTTTTCTAACCTTCTCTATCCACGATATCCTGATCATTCGCCTGTAACGCCACATTTCGAACGCGTCTAATTTTTCTTTTCCGCCTCGCCCACCGTCCAGTTTCGCATCCGTACAGCGCCGCACTCCACACATACGGCTTACCAATCTTTTTCGAATTTTCAAATTAATCGTTCGCGAGCATATAATTTACTTCCTTTTATTGAAGACTACTCGACTCCGCTCTCTTCTCTGCTTTATAACCCTACTACTCTTTTCGCCCTGTCTTATCTGAGTTCCTAGATACCTAAAATCAGCCACTTCTTCTAATTTTTCATCTCCTATCTTTATATTCGCTACTTTTTCTTCCCTTGCATACCAGTACATATTGTTAGCCGACAATTTTAATATTGCATTTATTAATCCTAACTAATATTATAAATGCGAATGTGAGTTTGTTTGTTTATTTATTACAATTTCACGTCTTAACTATTCAATCGATCATTATATTTTCTACACACATTACCAGGGGTACAGAAAAGGATCATAGGGTACCGTTTATCCAGAAAAAATGCTGATGATCTTGGGCACATATTTAGCACATCAATACGAGCGAAACTGCGGCTAAAAGCATCTTGGGCACATATTTAGCACATCTGCGGGTAAAAGCTAATCTCTTTTACAGTTTTTGTTTAATATTTAAAATCGAATATTTTGTTTTCAAATTAGGTTGAGGGCTAAAATGTTTACTAGCGCACGCAAGGACAAAAACGTTAATTTCTGTAGTGAACATCAGTCGTTATTTGCGATGATCTTAACATGAAATTATCGATTATCCATTTAAATCGCTACTGGAATGATTTGTGGAGCAATCCAGATTTTATCTAAATATTCTACTTAAAAATTTATTAAAAGTTACAGAGTAAATCAAATAACTGCTAGAAATAAAATGAATCTTAAATTTTGAACAATCACAAAAAAAATAGGTGAAACAGCTATAGGTAGGTAAGTGAATGCTTCCTATGAGAGTTTAGACAAAGTTTTGTCACCGTCCATCCCCTACTAAATAATACGTCACAAATTCCGCCCCTCCCCCTCAAAAGTTTCCTAGCGTTGAATACTTGCCTAATTTTAAATACTGTTTTTTCTAAAAATTCGTTGACAAGGTTTTGTTACTAAAACCAGAAACTGAAAAATCCCAGCTGAATTCTCCAGGTCAACTGTTTACTTCCACATAGGAAGTTAGGAACGTTAGGAATGTGTTGTTTTGTGACGAAAAGTTTTTCGCTCTACTGATATTAACTGTCATATGTAAAAGGAAAATAGTCAGTTGAGAAAAATGTAACATTTTCCAAGGATATAGTAAAATATTATTATTAAATAAATGCTTATGGAGTTTAGAATTACTGATTCAAGGATCCTTTTTATGACCTTGATCATAGAGATTAGCTAAGTTTAGATAAAAGTGTCCTAAACTAAAAATACAGTTTTGGAGTAAGCACTTATACCTATAGAATAAAAGCCATAATTTCAAAATAGGGGTAAATAACAGTTCGAATAGTCGACGTTAATCACATAAGACAGAAATGGAAGAGAAGAATCTCGTGGATAATACACAAATAGGTTATACAAAAGGGAGAGGGACACTGGATGCGATATACATAGTAAAGAGTACCATTGGGGAAGAAATAATGAAAGAAAAAGGAGAAAACTTCCAATTCTTTACTGGTATAAAGAGAATCTTTGACAGAATAAACAGAAAGAAAATATGGAGTATAATAGAAGAAAAAGGATTAAATATGAAGTTAAGGAAAAGAATATAAAAAATATATGAAGCACCGTCATTTCAAGTGAGAAACAATGAAGAAATTTCTGAAAAAGTTAGCACGATTACCGGTGTATGAAAAGGATGTCCCTTTAGTACAGCTCTTTTAAACCTAGCTTTTGTGGATCTAGAAAATACAATGAGGAAAATTCAAATGGGAGGAATAGTCTCTGAAAAAAAGAAAATATGGACAGTATCTTACGCGGATGATATAATATTAATGACGAACAATGAAGAGGGGATGACAGAAATGATGAGAAGAATGGGAAGATACATCACAGAAAGAAATCTAGGGATGAATACGGATAAATCGAAGATAATGAGAGGCAGAAAAGGTGGTGGAAGGACAAAAAAGATAATATTTACAAGGGAAGGAAATGAAATTGAAGAAATAAAAATGTTAAACCACCTGGACCACTACATATAGAAAAACAATGTAAATGAAGAACAAATAAGAAACTTAAAAAAAAAGGCAACTACAGTCTTACAGAAAGTATGGAGCATATCTGAAAGGAATTTCAAGGAAAGTTGGGAACAGAAAATGTATTTGTTTGAAGTATTGGTAGAAAGTATACTGATGTATGTGTAGAGCTGAAATGTGGGGACAGCCAGAGCACAAAGTAATCGAAGGAGTAGAAAACAAATACATAAAATGGATCCTACGGGACCTACTAAAATCAGAAAGAGGCAAAGAAAAGATGGCAAATAAGGCAAGGAAAAGGGCGATAAAATATGAGGAAAAAATTAGAAAAGAGGGAAGTAATCTACTTAAGTGCTTCAATGTAAAAGGTTTTGTGATGCTGGAAAATTACTGCTGGGCTAAAGGCAAGGTGTACCAGAAATGGGCTGCGAGAAA